ATCATTTTAAACTCTCAGTATGCTGCTTGAACCATTTTGTACTATAGATTAATTCATTATTAAGCTGAACTTGAAGTAAAATCTGTGTTAATGTTAGGCAACAGGATTATGGTGTGAAGTGCAAAGGAAGAAGTCAATAATATCTGAGCCACGTCGAGGTGACAAACAGGATTTTGACATTCTGTTGAAAGAATTCTATGAAGCTATAAAATATTCAGAAGACTCAAGTAAGCATAGACATTACCCAATGGAAAAATCCTTTGATATCGTAAATATTTTTCTATTTGTGCATCAGGTATTATTTACAGTCATTGAATGTTTCAGTTGTTTCTCCTGACATAATTTTTATGTTCAATTTGTAAATGTGAGTGCTGACATTATAGACGAAGTGCATTTTGCCACAGAAACCATATTGTTTGGAATGACAGGGCTATGTATAAACCTTCTTCCTGTCTTTGCATTACACCTATTTAATGCACTATCCTAGCAACAACCATGCCTGGTCAATCACAAGCACTTGCGAACCAAGGGTCCCCTGGTAGGGGTCGACTCTTATTTTCAGGGAGGTCATGTGGGATCTCAGCACTCTCTACTGAGGGGGAAGTGACTTGTGGGTACCCTAATGATATTCTTCAGTGTCAATTTCCCTGACATGCAAGTCTTGTTCACTGCTTGTCTATTGGGAAAATCTTTTGTACTAATGTGTGAATATATATGAGGTTTTCTATTCCTTGAGTCATCAATTTCTGAAGCTGACTGTTAACAATATAATTCGTAGTACATTCTACACTGTACTATCCTTCGAACACCAAGGAAAGGGTGCCCCAACATTAGTAATTAACACTGTATTGAAGGTCAGGTTGGAGTGCATTTCTGAGGATGATATAGTGAAGTCATTTATGAAGAGACTGGTATGTTCAAAAGGGTCTCTTCTATGGCCCATGTAGCTTGTATTCAAAACACTTCAACAGTCACTGTATGAGCCACAGCTGGTTGCATTGCTGCTGTTATGTTTATAGAAAAAACATTATTTCTCTTCCTACTATCGCCTAAGAGTGGCACCTGTTATGTTTCAGGGGGGGGGCTGTGCTTGGTATGTACAATGTGTACACCATGCACACTCCAGGTCGTTGTATCACATTATGTGGGTGGGTGTTAGAGACTGTCAGTTATGTTTATGCAAATCATGGCTCCCTTCATGCATATGTGCTGCGAAATTGTACAACCTAAAGGCTCTAAAATCACTGGCATTTTGTAATTGACCTTCCATTCATCACATGATCACAGCAGGCTATTGGGAATCAAAGAACACATTTGTTTCTTGTTATCTGAGAGATATGTCCCTGAAAGCTTGGGTCTACACAGGCTTGGCCTGTTTGTGATAGGCCAAAGAGTGACTTTCGACTGCATCTTAGGACATACATTTCATATCTACAATATAATAAACAAGGTGGGAGTATAAAATAAAAGTAATAATAATATGAGGTTATTATGAGGATACCGAAAGGTATACCGGGAGTATCGACCAACATGCAGCTGAAGTTGATGCGCCGCATACTGTCTGAGTGTATATTTTTTGGTATCTACGTAATACCCTTATTATTATACATTTTTTCCTCCCAAGGATACATCATGTGAATGCCGAAATCCAAAAAAATTTAGAACAGATTGAGCAAACTCCTTTGTATGGGGTCCAGTCATACCCACTGAGCAAATTTGCAAAATTACGGCACACTGCAACTGTTACGATGACAGATGTATAATAATAGTATTTATTGAAGTTGTATTCTAAAAATAGATCAAAGTACAATAGAGTGTGGTTGTCAATCAGAAGATAAAACAACAAACATTGTGTATGAATTTTATCTTATACAACAGTACATATGCCCTCACCTATCCTCCCCAGGTGAGCGGCTTTGCATTCGATTTAAATTTATGACTGCAAGCTTGGAGAATTTAATTAAGGCTGATTAAAAAAATTAAATTAGTAAGCAATGAAATTTGAGGTCTCCTGTGCAATTTTTTATAGCAGTGAAAACTTTTACTGGGGTTTTAAAGACATGACTTATGGCGTCTATTCAACATTTTGTGCTAGCGAACAACATCAAATTGTGATATTGTGAGAATATATGGGGGATTGTATTTCCAACTATGCATCAATGGAATTCTGTGTAAACCATATAAACTGTTCTAAATTGATCAGCCTCCCCAGTCACTCTCAATGGATGTCAACTACCTCTATTAACTTCACCTTCTATTTGAGGTTTTCAATATTTGTCAATGGCAATATTTTGCTTTCACAAATGCCATAATATTTTCAAATCATGAATATTTACAGTGGTTTACAGTATATCCATGCCTTGCATCCCTCATTACTGGAGTTGGATCTGTTCTCCTCATATCTTTCATTGTTTTATTGAATTCCTTCAGACTTTGACGATGAAGACAGTGTTACTGGTGTCTTGTTTCTAGCTGTATGTCGTGGCAAGGTCAGTGAGGGACTTGACTTTGCTGATAATAATGCCAGAGCTGTAATAACTGTAAGTGTTCAGAATTTAGACACATTGTTCATCTAATAAGAGAATAATCTGTTATAATTAGCAAAAATCTGATTTAAGTGGTTGCTGTTCAATAATACAATGATTTTTTGTTCATACTAATTAATTTTTTGTACTTTGCCTCTATTGTACATGGGGGAGGTATTTATTATGTTGTCCCATCATTATCTTAAATCAAACTGTCTACTAGGGTAAAACCTTGACCAAGGATTGTTGTAATTTTTTTCAAATAATAGAGAAATCAGGTAATGAAATGTTTGCTGTGTTACAGGTTGGAATACCATTCCCTAATATCAAAGACACAGTAGTGGACATGAAGAAGAGATACAACAATGATCACAGTTCATCTCGTGGTTTACTGAGTGGCAATGAATGGTATGAAATACAGGCATACAGAGCACTAAACCAGGCACTAGGAAGATGTATTCGTCACAGGTATAAGGGATTATATCCACTTTTGGACGATAGATACTGTTGCTTCTCATACCAGTTATCTCTTGGTTGTCATCATCTTCTTGCTTTTCATCACCTCTTAGTTGTCATCATTGTCTTGTGCTTTATCTGTTGGTTTTCTCATCATCTTCATCGATTGGTTGTTGTTTTTCTTTTGATTGTTATTGTTTCTCAGTTCTCATCATCTCTTGGTTAACCTCATGTCTTGGTTGTTACTTTTGCAATATTGTTTGAGTGAGTGCTCTTTTATCTATAAACCAGTGACACCTCCACTTCCTCACTCTCTTCCCCTCACCCTCTTCCCCCTCACCCCTTCCCCCTCATCCCTAACCCCACTTAATATATAATGGTTTACAGAAACACGTTAATAAAAAAATGAACCATATTATTCACTTCACCATTTGTCTTGTTTCAGAAATGACTGGGGAGCTCTGATTCTTGTGGATGAAAGATTCAGTAAGAGCAATCGGTACATCAAAGGTGTGTTTTTATTCCTCTTAAATAATTGAAATATATTACAAAAAGATTCAATAAAATCATTTTGTAATCTGTTGTTCTTTTGTAATGTTGAAGCTTTTACAAATGCTTGTTCGTGTTACATGGATCTTCCACACTATGCTAACGTCATCCTGTAATGGCCACCTTCTGTTCCACAAAGGTGTTTTTGATTGGCCACATAAGCTTATCAGTTTGTTATAAGGCATTCATTTATTTTTCAAACATTTTCACAATTGCATATCACAGCACATGTTACAATTAATAAGAATTTGGAATTCAGATGAGGTGAACCATGTGAGTGGAATGCATCTGGTGTTGAAGCCACCGCCATTATTATAAGTCAACCCTTGTAAAATCATGCATCTGTAGGCTATAAATAATACAAGTTGTCTGCACCATATGTGTAATATATCATTTAGATAAGTCTTACTAATATATTAATAATAAAATGATTATTAGCCAAATCTCACCAGTCCTAATTCTTGACACTCCCGGCTGGTGTGTCAACTCACCCTAGAGTCAAGCATAGACAGCAACACAATAACACATGATAACATGTGACCATAAAGTTGTAAAGTAATTTCCAAATTAAGCTATTATAGTTTTCACTTTTATCACACACATACTATTTAAATTATGGATGTTTTGTTACATTACCTCATTGTGTTGTGTTGTCAGGATTGTTATCAAGAGTAGCCGGTTATCTTGACTCCGCGTAACTGCACCAATTTATTACATACTTATATAGCCTTTCTTTGTTGATTTTGTGTGTCTGTTCATAAAAGTATAATCCCTGGTGATGTATATGATGCATGTGTACAGCTCCTTTACTTGATTTGTAATTTGTTATCTCTTGGTTAGTATATATTGTTAGTCCTGTTCACACTATATGGATTCTAATGGTGTGCTGCCACATTTAAGTTGCAACTCTCTAAACCATTTTTAGAGAGGTCTGACTATCTTTTTCAGTCTTTATTATAATTGTGTTTTTTCTCCATACATTTACCGTCCTAGGCTTGTCCAAATGGGTGCGCAATCAAGTGCACCATTACTACCGATTCAATGATGCTGTATCTTCATTAACAGACTTCACCAATGCCAGGCTGAAAGACCCGTGTCCAGAAACTAGGCAAGTCTTGTCCTTATAACTCTAAGTTTCATCAACTTTTCAACTGAATACAGTCAGAAACACTCATAACTGCTAACTTCCTTGGCATATTAATAAGCATAGCACAAACTTAATTTTATGAGAGTCAGTAGACTCGTTAAATTTGGTTAGAAAGAAAACTTCTACATTTGTATTCTTTTTTAATGCCATTTGTGTAATTTATTAGTGATTGTAATATCGATTTGCAGCTTGGCAAAGATATTCTATAGTATTAGTACAGAATTAAGTCCAACAAACCAATATGATAAGACTTTATAGAAAGCACTTCCCCATGGTAAAAGTGATTGTAAGCAATATTTCATTGGGTGACTGAGATGAGTTGTCATTCACACTGGTTCATTGCATGTGATAGGAAAACAATTCCTTGCTGAGACTGACTTAAACAAGTTAAGTTGAGTTAATTCTCTGACTGCCAGTTTGCTGGACTAATTGTATTTGTATCAACTCATATGTTGTATATGTATAATTTTGTTATTTTTTACAGTATGAACTCCACTGCCTTAATGTTAACTCCATCTCAGATCAATTCTGATAAGAGTTTTACCCGATCACAGAATAACAAGTCTCTGGAAGTCAATTGTAAAATAGAAAAAGAAAACAGCCCTTTGGGTGAAGTTGATCTCACTGTGTCATCACCCATTCATAGTGACCGTAATGTGACTACTCCTCAGGTATATAGTCTCTTTATGAAGTCATCCAACAAGAAACCAGTCACAAAGAATCCACCCTCCTCATCCACCCCTCTGAGTATTTCAACCAAAGGTCATGCGTTACTGGAGGTACTTGGGTCTCCAGTGACTCAAAGAGGAGCTTCTTCTGTCTTGACTGATGTGATGCTGCCCACTCCTAAAGGAAAACTGAATTTTGATGTCAAGGATGGGGTGATCCAATCAACAGGTGGCAAAACTGATGTTATAGGAAAACTGGAAAAATTCAAATTCCAGCAAAACGGCGCACATACAGTTGTGATTGGACATTCAATGACTGCTACAGGTGATGTCCCTACTACAGAGACCAGACTGGAAGTAATGAACAAAGCAACCCCACAACAAACAAATGATACCCCAGCAAACAAATTTAAAGCTGATACTAAGTTCACATTCCAATTTGTGAAAATACCTCCCAAAAACCCACCTGAATCTAGTGGGGGAGATACTGGTAAGGAAGTGTCCAGTGAACCTGAGAACTTAGATTGTACATCGCCCTTGTTTGATTCAGAATCAATCAAAGAAGGCTGCCTAACTGAACATGATAAGGCTGTAATACTAGACATGACCCCTCAAGTTACTGCTAATTTAACTGAAAACACAGCATCCAGCGGGCCAACCAATAGAAAGAAACTTTTCAAGTTGTCATCGACTAGACAAGCTAATCAGTCTATTGAGGCTCCCCAAGTTAGCAGCAAAACTGAAGAGGTTGAGGATAATACTGTTGGAATTGTAAGAAAGACACAGCGTGGACGTAAACGAAAGAATATTCCACATGATGTGGATGGAAAACCAACTAAAAATGCCAAGGGAAATCTGGATTTGTTGAATGAATTAGATGGCATGGCAGATGAGGTATTGGAAAATTATATGGTACTTAAGTGGTCCTTTTTAACTGCTTGTCAAAGGTTTATTTGAGTCGGTATACGGTTGGTTTAATTTTTAATTTCAAAATCAAATTCAGTTATCGTAAATGTCTCCAAAATGTTGATATTATTTACTTTAAATGGGTGTTCACCTATTGTTTTTGAGTGAAGGTTTTTTCTTACATGCAGTGCAAGAGTCAACCATACAATTCCAGCAAATATTTGCTTGTGCTCATTAATTGAATTTTCTCCAATTGGCATTTGAATATTTAAATTTAAATTTCATCCCAATGTTAAAAAAGATGGTTCTGATGTAAAATTGCTAAATTCAGTTTCTTTTTATATGTTATCAGGGAAAGTTGATGAAGAATAATAATCCCTGTGAGACTGGTTTATGTTGTATAAAGTGTACTACATGTTTAGTTTCTAACTTAGGTATGTATCCAGAATTCATAAACACTTACTCATGCAATAATTACCTGCAGAAAGTTAGTGTGTATAAGTTAACAGTGCAATATCAACTGGTATACTTCCACAGGGTTTATTGGTATTGTATTATGTCAACAACAAAATGAATTGTCTGGTCCTGTTAACATGCACTTAAAAATATTTGATTTGTCACCATCATTGACTTGCAGATCATTTCAGAATATGTGCAGTTTTGCTCAGATCAATGTCCGAACCTTCGATCCTCCGAAATTATCATTTGAGTATATGTGCATTTCTCCACACACAAATGTCCGCATCTCTGACCCTCCCAAATTATCATTTCAGTATATTTACAGTTTTCCACACACAAATGTTCACACCTGTGACCCTCCCAAATTATCATTTCAGCATATGTACAGTTCTCCACACACAAATGTCCACATCTCTGACCCTCCGAAATTATCATTTCAGTATATTTACAGTTTTCTACACACAAATGTCCACATCTCTGACCCTCCCAAATTATCATTTCAGTATATTTACAGTTTTCTACACACAAATGTCCACATCTCTGACCCTCCCAAATTATCATTTCAGTATATTTACAGTTTTCTACACACAAATGTCCACATCTCTGACCCTCCCAAATTATCATTTCCGTATATTTTCAGTTTTCTACACACAAATGTTCACATCTGTGACCCTCCCAAATTATCATTTCAGTATATTTACATTTTTCTACACACAAATGTTCACACCTGTGACCCTCCCAAATTATCATTTCCGTATATTTACAGTTTTCTACACACAAATGTTCACACCTCTGAACCTCCCAAATTATCATTTCAGTATATGTACAGTTCTCCACACACAAATGTTCGCATCTCTGACCCTCCCAAATTATCATTTCAGTATATTTACAGTTTTCTACACACAAATGTATGCATCTCTGACCCTCCCAAATTATCATTTCAGTATATTTGCAGTTTTCTACACACAAATGTTCACACCTGTGACCCTCCGAAATTATCTTTTCAGTATATTTACAGTTTTCTACACACAAATGTTCACACCTGTGACCCTCCCAAATTATCATTTCAGTTTATTTACAGTTTTCTACACATAAATGTCCACATCTCTGACCCTCCCAAATTATCATTTCAGTATATTTACAGTTTTCTACACACAAATGTCCACATCTCTGACCCTCCCAAATTATCATTTCAGTATATTTACAGTTTTCTACACACAAATGTTCACACCTGTGACCCTCCCAAATTATCATTTCAGTATATTTACAGTTTTCTACACACAAATGTTCACACCCGTGACCCTCCCAAATTATCATTTCCGTATATTTGCAGTTTTCTACACACAAATGTGCACACCTGTGACCCTCCCAAATTATCATTTCAGTATATTTACAGTTTTCTACACACAAATGTCCACATCTCTGACCCTCCCAAATTATCATTTCAGTATATTTACAGTTTTCTACACACAAATGTTCACACCTGTGACCCTCCCAAATTATCATTTCAGTATATTTACAGTTTTCCACACACAAATGTTCACACCTGTGACCCTCCCAAATTATCATTTCAGTATATTTACAGTTTTCTACACACAAATGTTCACACCTGTGACCCTCCCAAATTATCATTTCCGTATATTTACAGTTTTCTACACACAAATGTACACAGGGATGTACTATAAGTCCAATGCTTTTTAATCTTTATGTTAATGACTTGAATGACACATTAAAAGATTCAGTAAACCAGGTAACATTAAATAATTATAAAATTAACTCTCTATTTTATGCAGATGACCTAGTATTGATTTCAACAACACAATTAGGTTTGCAAAATGCATTAAATAC